TCGCTTTACATTCCTCTCTCGTCCTGTCTAAGCTCGATTATGGTTGCCCTACTTACTCGTCTGCTTCTCCTTCTACTCTTCGCCGTCTTGATGCTTAGCACTATACTGGGTTGCGCCTCAGTTCTGGTGCCTTTCGTTCGACTCCCGTCCTCAGCTTGTATGTTGACACTGGCTTCCTGTCTCTCCAGAACCGCCGTGGACGCTACTGTCTTCGCTATCTTGCACGGTCCTTGCAACATCCTTCCTCTCACATCTGTCATGCTTTAACTTTTACCCCTCCTGCAGGTGCTCTTCCTCTTCACCACCTCCCTCTTTCTGTCCGGTTATCTCGTTTACAGGATTCTCTTTCCGTTCGTATTTCTAATGTTTCTCCTCGTGTTGTTCCTTCTTTGCCCCCATGGAGAGTCCCCCTTCCGCAGTTTTGTACATCCTTGACCCGCATCATTAAAGCTTTTACCCCTCCTACGGTTCTAAAACGCCTTTTCCTTGAGCACTTTTCTTCTCACTCCTGATCAGTTTCCGTCTTCACCGATGGGTCTAAGTCTCCGGACGGTATTGGCTACTTTGTTGTTTTTCCTGATTGCACTTATATGTGTCGCTTACCTCCAGAGACTAGCATCTTCACAGCGGAGCTTTATGCTATTCTCTATGCTCTTCGTCTCCTGCTTTCTCGTTGTCAATCTTCCTTTGTCGTTGTTGTTGACTCTCGTAGTGCCCTTATGGCTCTCAGGTCCTTTAATACAGTTCATCCAGTGGTTGTCGAGATCCAGCATTGGCTGTTTCTTGTTCACAGTAAATTTAAGTCGGTTGAGTTTTGTTGGGTTCCCAGCCATATTGGTGTCTCTTTAAATGAGTGTGCGGATGCTACCGCCAGGGAAGCTGTCTGCTCTTGTCCCATCTCTCATCAAGGTATTCCTTATTCCGACTTTTACCCGGTTATCCATTCCTCCATCCTTACCTGGTGGCAGGTTTGTTGGTCGTCTGTTACTGTTAACAAACGACGTACTCTTAAAAGTTGTGTGTCCTCGTGGCCGTCCTCCTACCACCGTAACCGGCGATGGGAAATGGCTCTGGCGAGGTTGCGCATTGGCTATACTCGCTTAACTCATGGTCACTTGATGGAGCGCCGCCCTGCTCCTTATTGTCCTAATTGCATTGTCCCTCTTATGGTCGTGCATATCTTTGTTGAATGTCTTGACTTCCGGGAAGAGCGTGTGTCTTGTTTTCCGACCGTCCCCCACGGTCGCTTGTCTCTCGATAGTATTCTTGATGACTCGGATACTTTTGATATCGTTCGCCTTATGCGTTTCTGTTATCGTCTTGGCATTCTTGGAATTTAGCGCCCTCCGATTATCTCGCACATTTGATAGTGATACATAGCCTTCCCGGTTTGGTGCCTTCTTTTGATAATTACTTACTTACTTATCTCCTCAGAGAGGCGCAGAGAACAATGGCCAATGAGCGGGTTCCATTTAGTGTAGATCATACTTGCCATCACTCGGGGAGGGCACTGTTATGTACCTGTCCTGTCAGCACGGGTAATAATTACAACATTTGACCTATCTCGGGGTTAATAGTACCACAGCGTTTAAAAGGTACACACCAGTATGCTACTGATAGACACAATTTAATAAAGAATATATATATATATATATATATATATATATATATATATATATATATATATATATATATATATATATATATATATATAACTGAAAACTCACACCCCAGAAGTGACACGAACCCATACTCCCAGAAGCAACGCAACTGGTATGTACAAGACGCCTTAATCTACTTGACCATCACGACCGGACATAATGAGGTGATAGCCGAGGCTATTTGAACCACCCCACCGCCGGCACTCGGATAGTAATCTTGGGCATAGCATTTTACCAAATCACCTCATTCTTTGGGGCACACGTGAGGAACACAAATGCGAACAAGCCTGAATGGTCCCCAGGACAATATGCAACTGAAAACTCACACCCCAGAAGTGACTCGAACCCATACTCCCAGAAGCAACGCAACTGGTATGTACAAGACGCCTTAATCCACTTGACCATCACGACCGGACATAATGAGGTGATAGCCGAGGCTATTTGAACCACCCCACCGCCGGCACTCGGATAATAATCTTGGGCATAGCATTTTACCAAATCACCTCATTCGTGATGGTCAAGTGGATTAAGGCGTCTTGTACATACCAGTTGCGTTGCTTCTGGGAGTATGGGTTCGAGTCACTTCTGGGGTGTGAGTTTTCAGTTGCATATTGTCCTGGGGACCATTCAGGCTTGTTCGCATTTGTGTTCCTCACGTGTGCCCCAAAGAATGAGGTGATTTGGTAAAATGCTATGCCCAAGATTACTATCCGAGTGCCGGCGGTGGGGTGGTTCAAATAGCCTCGGCTATCACCTCATTATGTCCGGTCATGATGGTCAAGTGGATTAAGGCGTCTTGTACATACCAGTTGCGTTGCTTCTGGGAGTATGGGTTCGAGTCACTTCTGGGGTGTGAGTTTTCAGTTGCATATTGTCCTGGGGACCATTCAGGCTTGTTCGCATTTGTGTTCCTCACGTGTGCCCCAAAGAATGAGGTGATTTGGTAAAATGCTATGCCCAAGATTACTATCCGAGTGCCGGCGGTGGGGTGGTTCAAATAGCCTCGGCTATCACCTCATTATGTCCGGTCGTGATGGTCAAGTGGATTAAGGCATCTTGTACATACCAGTTGCGTTGCTTCTGGGAGTATGGGTTCGAGTCACTTCTGGGGTGTGAGTTTTCAGTTGCATATTGTCCTGGGGACCATTCAGGCTTGTTCGCATTTGTGTTCCTCACGTGTGCCCCAAAGAATGAGGTGATTTGGTAAAATGCTATGCCCAAGATTACTATCCGAGTGCCGGCGGTGGGGTGGTTCAAATAGCCTCGGCTATCACCTCATTATGTCCGGTCGTGATGGTCAAGTGGATTAAGGCGTCTTGTACATACCAGTTGCGTTGCTTCTGGGAGTATGGGTTCGAGTCACTTCTGGGGTGTGAGTTTTCAGTTGCATATTGTCCTGGGGACCATTCAGGCTTGTTCGCATATATATATATATATATATATATATATATATATATATATATATATATATATATATATATATATATATATATCCAGGGTAAATGTCCACAATCACAAAATTATATATGTCCAGACTTCAGGACATAGCAAAGCAAAACAATTTGAGTAAAACTGCTGAATTGATGACTAAAGATACTCAAATATATATATATATATATATATATATATATATATATATATATATATATATATATATATATATATATATATATATATATATATATATATATTACTGGCTTATCAATCAGTATCTAGTCCACTCAGAACAAAATCCAACATCTGAGTGCTAAAACAGAACACATTATGAACTTAACTCTCATACCACAACCGAGTGTCACCCCTCCTCCAACAGCTACCTGAAGCTACAGGCCTTCATGCCCCACCTCACAGACGCCTCACTCATTCAAAGAGTTACCAGACTCATCTGACACAACTCTAACACACTACATACGGAAGTAACCACTCCCAAACACTTATACATCAAAGTATATAATATTCTACACACTCTGGAATAATATTACCATTTTACAAGGTTAGCTTAGAAACATAATAGAATTCTCAATAATGCACAATTAAACTGGTAACACGACCGCTCCACTCTCGACTCCCTCAATTCCACATGAAATGGACATGTCCAGGGATGCCTCCCGCCTAACCGCCCGCTCATACAAGAATACATTACCATGTGAATTACAATATAACAGTATGTAATGTTACCATATACAATATGCATTCACATGCACCCATATGCCAATGTAAATGGAAATAGGAGAATAGCATAATTATACATATATGAGAATCAGGATTCATAACATCCATCCATCTCTGAGAGCAAAATGTAATTAACTGAAGGTTAATTGCATTTTCACTAATGGTAAGTATAGAATTTAGTACTTGAACCATCAAGGATGTTAAATCATAAGTGTTATCAATGAACTTTATAAGTACTACAGTACAATCTAAAAAAAAAACAGTCTACAGAAAATATATATAGCAGTTGAAATGTAAATAAAAATACATATTCAGTATATTAGGAACATGCAATAAATCAAGAATATAGTATGTAACAAGGTACATCTTGCAAGAAAAGAACCACAATTTTAAGGTTAGCTTCTGAAGTGGTAATGAGTTACGAAACTCCAACAGAATAACTGAATTACTCCAAGGTTTAAAATTACTCCAAGCTCCAGTTGTTGCTCCAGGTTTTGGCTCTGCACAAGTCCTATCAGGGAAGAGTGATTCTCCTGGCTCTATGGTGGCCGGCCCAGTCTTGGTTTCAGACGCTGTTTGCTCGGTGATTGAACCCAGGAATCTTTCTGCATCTCCGCCTCTTTCGACAGTTCGGGCCGGTGAGGTACCTTGATGGTTTGACTTACTCTTCCACTATTCGCGTCTGGTTTTCCAGTCACGGGTATATCGTCACTTGTACGGTGATCAGGTGACTTCTTTGATGGTATCTCACCTGCGGTCTTCGTAACGTACCCATTATTTTTTGGTAAAATGGTGCCTGTTAACTGGAGGCCTCAGGCCCTGGATGTGAACCGTGTCTCAAGAAGTCTTAATATTGCGCAATATACCTACACTCTTCTTCAGATGTTATGCTCACCTTGGGTCTAAAATACAGTATGGGAATGTTATGCTCAGTTCAAAATTTAATGAGCACAATTAAGATTTAAAAATTTTCATTAATAATCTCTTATGAACACAGGGAATATCTCAGTGTGCAAATACTTAAGCATAAGGCATTACTAATCAATTAGCATTGCAAATTATTATTTTTTGCAGTTGTACTGATAGTTATTATTTGACGTTAGTATTTAATTAAAGTGAAGCCATACCCTGTGATCATCACTTTCTTGTCCAGAATATTATGTGTATAAAGCCCAACCAGCCCTAGGGTTGGGCATTCTGCAATATTATTTCCTCTCTAAGAAGTTTTCCAAGATTCTCCATGCCCTGCAAAAAAAAAAAATACTTAAACTAAAGTAAAACCATAAAATGCTCATAAATTACCATAAAAATGGTAATATCATTAAACAAAGATTTAAGTTTCTCCGCTGTAGAGCCAGTGTGACAAGCTGCACGAGCAGACATTATAGGCGGTAAAGTAAAGTCTATCTCAACTGATCTTAAAAAGCTATGTTGATTGATTACTAAGGGGTGAGGGGTGCCCAGCTGTGTCCTGTGTCCGGGTCTCTACACCCCTTCCCCACTGCCCCTTCTCATATCTCCTTCCCTATCCCCACATCCCTTTCTATCTACCCCTTTCCAAATTTATACCTCAAGATGCCCCTCTCCTTTCCTCTCTACAATGACAATGAAAATATTTTTTCAAAAGAATGTGTGTACAAAGAACATAGGAGTAATGCACAAATTGTAGAGACAGAAGCTACACAATCTATAAATCCGCTGTTACTCAAAGCGTTTCAGGCAAAAAACATAAAATAACTAGACAAAAAAATTAACAATGGTGTGAGGAGGGGGGGTGGGGGTGGGGGGGGGGGGTATACCACTAAATAAAAAAGAAGAAAAGCTAACTGTTATGGTCTTACTGAGCCAGTAGCCGGGTTCTTTATTTCAGTCGCTGCTTATGGGCTTAATGCCTCTTCTTCATTGATCCCACCCTAAGTAAGTTATCAAGAGTTGGCAGTAGCAAATAATCGTGAAAAGAAAAGGGAAGTAAACAATACTAATCAGCAACTTCACCAATACAAAATCTTTTATATAATGTTATGACCCATGTAGCCTGGTGGAACGAGTCTACCCCAGTAAGAGTTATTCTGCCTTCCGGACCTGATTGAGAGGTCAGAGGAAAGATGTATATATTAAATATATAATAAACGTCAGTGAATAATTTAAAAATATCAGCAGAGGATGAGCATTTAAATAAGTGACACAAAATGAGATGTAGATACTTTGGAGACATGAAGTGGCGCTAGCAGGAGGTCGTGACCTCAATTGAGTTACAACAGTCATCAGAGGTGGTTTGTACATCGTGATCTCCTGGGAGAAGGAAGGGTATAGCGCCCTGTGTTAGTGCTGAAGTGAAGACTACTTGATGTCAAGTGTGAGGAAGCTGTATGGGAACGTCGTACACCATTTATCTATGATTTTGATAAATTAGAGGCGACCTGGAAGTGTGTGTCGGTTGCGCCTTTGTAGAACTCTAATTGTGGTGCTTCTTCAAGAGGAAGGGAAACAAGCAGACGTTTCTGTTGTGGAGCCTGCTGGGCGACTCCGTGTACTCAAGCCAGGAGCAGGAGAACTGTGAGGCAGTCTTAAAAAAACCTTGTTGGACGTCTTAGAGGACGCCATCTTGGAGGGCCGGAGTTGAATGCTCTTGAGCTATGAATTCTGCTGTAAGCTCATGTATAAGTTGGTATAGTGGTTGCCTGTGCTTAATCGTGTGCCCATCGACCATGTCAAGTGTTTATGTATGTAGGATATACATTTTTATTGTGGCAGTGAGCTAAAATAGACTGTTAGAGATAAGAGAACATGCTGGAGGAAGGAGTAGTACATCCTCCCTCACCGAAGGTCAAGTGCTGACTGAGGGGCGGAGGCCCCAGCAACGTGTCAAGACATGTTCCCAGTGTGGACTCGTCCAGGATGGGGGAGGACCATCGCAGCGACCCATTAGTGTTAAATAGAGATGTCGGGTGGAAGAGTTTTATTTTCTGTGAATACATTTAATTATGTTTTATTAGGAAAACATTTATTAGGGCATGATGATGGATTTGCAGGTTTGTGTGGGAGAACTGCAACGTTTGTGTGGGAGAACTGCAGCGTTTGTGTGGGAGAACTGCAACGTTTGTGTGGGAGAACTGCAGCGTTTGTGTGGGAGAACTGCAACGTTTGTGTGGGAGAACTGCAGCGTTTGTGTGGGAGAACTGCAACGTTTGTGTGGGAGAACTGCAACGTTTGTGTGGGAGAACTGCAACGTTTGTGTGGGAGAACTGCAGCGTTTGTGTGGGAGAACTGCAACGTTTGTGTGGGAGAACTGCAACGTTTGTGTGGGAGAACTGCAGCGTTTGTGTGGGAGAACTGCAACGTTTGTGTGGGAGAACTGCAACGTTTGTGTGGGAGAACTGCAACGTTTGTGTGGGAGAACTGCAGCGTTTGTGTGGGAGAACTGCAGCGTTTGTGTGGGAGAACTGCAGCGTTTGTGTGGGAGAACTGCAACGTTTGTGTGGGAGAACTGCAACGTTTGTGTGGGAGAACTGCAACGTTTGTGTGGGAGAACTGCAACGTTTGTGTGGGAGAACTGCAACGTTTGTGTGGGAGAATTGCAACGTTTGTGTGGGAGAACTGCAACGTTTGTGTGGGAGAACTGCAACGTTTGTGTGGGAGAACTGCAGCGTTTGTGTGGGAGAACTGCAACGTTTGTGTGGGAGAACTGCAACGTTTGTGTGGGAGAACTGCAACGTTTGTGTGGGAGAACTGCAGCGTTTGTGTGGGAGAACTGCAGCGTTTGTGTGGGAGAACTGCAACGTTTGTGTGGGAGAACTGCAGCGTTTGTGTGGGAGAAGTTAGTGAGAGAACTTCGTACCGGAGGAGGAGGAGTATAAGCTGAACTGCAAGGTGGTGCAGGACTTGGAGTTGAGGAGTGGAACTCCAGTGACACAGTGAAACTTCAAGGAGTGTAGAGTGCTACACGTATCTTGTGTGAAGCTGGTGGAGGAGCTTCACTCACATTCAAGGAGGACTCCATGTGCAGCTGATTGGAGGAACTGCAGGAGTACCTTATGTGATATTTTGAGGACCCAGATTGATGATTATACTATGGGACCTCGAGTAATAGAACAGAGGATCTTACAGACACGTTAATATTTAAGGGAGTGCGTGATTGCGTTTTGGCATGAAAGGCGCAGTGCAAGGCGAGGGATTGATTCTTTTTGTAGAGTAGAAAATATGTGAATATTTTATGTGCCAAATATTGCGGCCTAAAGCAGTGAAGGGAGCAGAAGGTTGTAGACTGAAGTTTAAGTAGCAGCCTGATACAGTTATAGATTGGAGACACAAGGCGATATTGTAGTGTTATCAGTTGGTAGCAGCCTGAGAGGTTACACTGTTTTATAACTATTCTTGTTTGTATATTGTGCATGTTCTTATGTATTAAATGTTATATTTGCTAGCTGGCTTTTGCTCCTGTCCTGGTGAGGCTTCCTGGCTAGAGAGAGAGAGAGAAATACATGGCTATAATTTGGGTGATAGTGGACTATAGCTAACTAAGGGGGGATTGAGAGATAATCCCACAGTAAGGAGAGTGCGGAGAGTCACGGTGGCTCGAGAGCAGATGTGTAGTCATGACAACTAGGCAGTGTGAGCCATACCCCTGAAATAAAGGTGACGCTGAACTCCTCTTCCAAAACCAAACCCTTACCAGGGTGATCTCCCAAATAATTGCAAGCACTCCAGCGTCCATTGCTGGCCGATTGACGGTAGCGGGAGTGTGGCTATTGTGGTCGGCTGTTTGTTCTGTCAGGGAGTGATTGGGGTTTCTGTTCGACGGTAAGCAAGTATCAGGTTGGTTCAAATAACCAAGTTTTAATGTATAACAACTCTCAACCTCCATGATAATAATCACTATACATACACGTATATACACTGTGAGTGTCACTTTCGCACAAGACACTAATACGATAAATTCTGCAGCCGTCTTCTATCCCAGTGAATCCACTCTATCTTCTATTATACATCATCTATGTTCAATGGTCCTCACACTGGCGAGTTCACCCTACTCAACACACAACCCGCTCTCGCACAAGACAGCAAGTATATGACTTATTGCTTATAGTCACTATTTTGCTTATAAATAAGTATATATGTGACATATTTCAAGCCAGATTTTTTTTTAAGGCACTAACTATTCCTCTCAGTTTTATTAAACAATAGAGATTTTATACAAAATTTGACAATATCCTGAGTTACTTTACAATTTATTTAAATATTTTAGTTTTGTTTTTATTATTTTTATATAACTGTAATATCAATATAGGTATAGGTTCAGTACTAATTGTAACATCTTAACATACTAAGAAGGTTAGGTTAGGTCGGTGTTTTCTATTCAGCTTTTCAAGGTAAACTCAAATATTCACAATAAATTAGTATGTCACATATGCACTTATTCATAAGCCAAATATTGACTATAAGCAAGTGCGAGAACGGGTTGCAACACAGCATGGGCCAGACTACATCATAACGTCAGTGTCCAAAACCCCACTTCTCTCCAGCACCACACTGGCAGAGGACTTCAGCAACATGCTGACAGGGATCACAAATAACATGTACAGGGGTCTCTACCAACACCCTGGCAAAAGTATCCAACAACATGCTAGCAGACCTCAACAGACGGCCAGGATACTGCCATCTCGTAACTTGTAACTAAGTACACAAGGATAACTTAGGATGACAGCCTTTCTCTGGGGGAACAGAAAATATGACTCGGTGAAGGCAATAGATGGCGATATCATTACCTCCCTCACCAGAGGGTATTATCATCGACCCACCACCTAAATAAGTTATAATCAGGAGCATTCCACAGGTGGTGCTGACCTTGGCACACTTCCACTAACAGACGGCGTTGTCTTCGTCACATCTACAAGAATTTGGATTGGAGTGCATTTTCACAGATGGTGTTGCTTCACAGGTGGTGTTGATATCGTCACACCTCCTCTCCAAAAAAAGAATTTGTTCAAGTTTCTAGAATCCTTATTCTGATACCTTCCAAGTGCTATATTGTCTTAATGGCTTGGCGCTTTCCCTTGATAGTTCTCTCTCTCCCCTCCTGCTTAGTGTCTTTATTATGAATAGAAAAAAAACATTATAAAAGGAAATAAAACAAATTAGAATTTCAAATGTGGGACAAGGCATCGGCTACCACGTTTTCTATTCCTTCAACGTGTTCAATATAAAGGGAGTACTGCTGGAGGTGTTGACCCCATCTGGTTAGTTTGAGATTCTTCTGTCCGAATTGTGCTAGAAACTTCAGAGGATTATGGTCAGATCTGACCAAAACTGGATGACCATTACTAGTCAAATAGACATCAAAATGTTGCACAGCATTCACCAGGGGCCAATGTTTATTTCTCTATTATGGAATAATTCCGTTGGCACTCACTTAACTACTTGGAATAATATGCCACAGAATGTTCTATCCCTTTAGCAGCATTCTGTGATAACACTGCCCCTAGACCGTAGTCTGAATCATCGACTGTTAAAATTAATTTGTCATCGACATTAAGGGATATAGGAATGGGAGATGAAATCAATATGGCTTTTAAGCTCTCAAAAGCCAACTGACAGTCCTTGTTCCACATGAGCTTTATCCCCCTTCTTCAGGAGATTTTGTCACAGGTACTGCGATCGTCCAGAAGTTTGGAACAAACTTACGGTAGAAGCCGGCCATACCCAGGAAACGCAGGACCTCCTTACGTGTTGAAGGGGTCGGGTACTGAACTACAGCATCTATGTTGCTGTTCTTAGGGGCGATCCATCCTCCTCCCACCACATGTACTAAAAACATAACAGAGCTCTTGACAAACTCAGATTTATGCAGATTGACTACCAACAGAGCTTGTTGAATAGCCAAAAATAATTCTTTTAGGTGTCGTAAATGTTCTTCCAATTTGAGTCATAGATCAATACATCATCAATGTAGACCATCGCATTCTCTACGTCGCGTAGAGAATGTATTCTCATCAATCGCTGAAAAGTAGAGGCTTGCATTTTACATTCCAAATGTCATTACTTGACATTAAAAAGACCATCTGGGGCCACAAAAGCAGAAGTAGGTTTGGCACGCTCTGTCAGAGGTACCTGCCAATAACCTTTGAAGAGGCCGAACTTTGTTAGGTAGGTAGCCCTACCGATGGTATCAATACACTTTTCTATCCTCGGAAAGGGATATGTATCTGCTACTGTGACCTTGTTAACCTGCTTATAATCAATGCATAATCTATGCTCATTACCAGGTTTGGGTACTAGCAGAACAGGGGACGACCACGGACTAACACTCGGGGTGATAAAATTATGTTGGAGCATAATTTGATCACAAACCTATAAAGCAACAGGGATGTTGCTTAATAGGTCTGGGTCTTACACCTTCCTCCAAGATAATGTCGTGTTTCAAGACGGACGTTAGACCTGGAACATTTCTGAAAATAAACTTATATTGTTTTATTAAGTCTGCGAGGGATCGCTGTTGCTCCTCAGGCAAGTGAGTTAACTTGGTAGGTAGATTCATCAGAATCTCTGAGTTTGTTGCTACCTGCTTACCAACATCCTACATCACCTCTTGGTCGTGCTCCCTTGCGACAACCATCGTTACTGGGCGAATGCCCCATTCTTGGTACCGCTTCATGTGTATTAACATTCGTTTTTTCTTTTTATCCGGAGTGCTAAGAATATAGTTAGTATTATTAACCTTCTTTAGCATTGGGTACGGACCAATGAATTTGGCACTCAAGTTTCCTGTTACTATTGGAGAACATACCAGAGCTAGGTCTCCTACCTGAAATTCCCTCTGTGTTGCTTTGCTGTCTTATCTCCTTTTGGTAGTTACCTGGGAATGTAACAGGTTTTCTTTGGCTAGATCCCAAGCAGCAAACAATCTGGCTTTGTTCGTAGACAACCAGTCCAACGCATCCATGTTGCTCTTTTTCTCTGACCATTGGCCCTTGATCATCTCCAATGGGCCTCTTACAGTGTGACCAAATATCTCGAATGGAGAAAGATCCAGAGAATCATATAAAATATTAGCATATTGTGCATCTATAGGCATAGGTTAGGTTAGGTTAGGTGTTTAGGTTCTGTTGGTGATTATTTGTATTTGTAGTACGTGGGTGAAGCATTTACAGAGTTGTGGTTCGAACAAAATTCGTCAGTGAAGCACTTGTTTTGTAAGTGTTCGAACGAAATCAGTTGTGATTCGTGTGAAAACCGTTTTTCGTTCAAAATCAGGGGGTTTGGCAGGTGCATGGAATCACTTTTGGGTCTTTGTTTGGAGGACGGGCTGTTCTACCAGGTGGGGTCTGTTTTGAAGCGCCTATCTTTCTGGGTGCTCTACCCCAGTCGACGGCAAACATAAATACTTTCATATATGTAAGTATTGTAAGTAAATGTAAGTTTCAAAAGACATTGCTTCCTTCACCTGTCTGAGGAGACCATGTTCTGGTTAGTGGTCCCTGGTAGGCATAACTCCATATGACTGAAGCCCTGGCCGTACTAATATTAGCTAATATCAGTCCAATAGCTCAAGAGAGCCGACGGGGCTCCCCCACAGAAAATAAGCCAATATACTGAGGGTTTAATTTAATTACTTTATAGCTACTGCATAACTATAATATACAATCACCTCACCTTCATCATCTCATCTGCAGTGGCACATGAGAAGGCTGCCCTCATGTACTGGCATGGTTTGCTAGAGTCCACTACAAAGTCCTTCCCAGGAACAAGAGCAATGTCCTTCTTTATTGCTCTTTTGAGTAGCATAGGACCAGTGTCTTCCAATTCTGGAACCTGGGAACATAAGGGGTGTAGATTATACTAGTATATTACGTGAATGAGATATAACAGTGCAAGAAACATCTACGAGTTGAGGTATAGTGCTGCACAACCAATTATTACAACATATAGAAATTACTTAAACTTAGGCCATAAAGCCCCTGAGCCCAGCCATAGGCCAGTGATCAAGGCTGAGTGATCAAGGCTGAGCATTACACCGAAGAAAGTCATCTACCCCCCCCCCCTCTACCCACGAGTTGGAACAAGAAAGAAAACTTCTGCAAACTGGAAAAAGTTTAATAAAAGTTCATGGCCAAAGTTTATGCAACTCAAACAAATCCCCTACTGAGAGAAGAGGAATCAAACCCTCATTCTCCAATCCCACTCCAGCAAATGCCTCCAGACCAATCTCCTGAAAGATGCGGAGTTGTGCCAAATAGCTCAGGTTTGGACAATAGATCAGAAGAGCAAGAAACCAAGACTGAGCCAGCCACCAACGGCCCGGAAAGATCACCCCAGTTCATATAAGACCCCAATATCACACAGATAGATATATTAGCCGAGGAGAGGGAGAAGCCATATATGTTAGGGAATATATGAAATGTAGTCTCACAGAGGGAATCAAAACTGAACCACACACATAAACTATCTGTCTAGAATACAACGAAAAAACAAATAATCTTATAATAGGAGTTATATACAGGCCACCAAAAGTTAGAATGAAATGCAGGGGGTAATGATGTTGGGCGAGTTAGGAGTGAGGAACTAATACAGAGATTCAGGACAGCCATTGAATTAGTTAGGAGCAAGGGAGGAATCCCTATCATATGTGGCATTCTTCCAAGAAAGGGAGTGGGAAATGAATGGATGTCGAGGGCACTTGGTGTCAATTGCCGGCTGGAAAGATATTGCAAATCAAATGCAATATCTTTCATAGACAACTGGGAACACTTCTATGGAAGAAATGAAATGTATGCTCGTGATGGGGTGCATCTATCGAGAGCTGGGGTTGTTGCTGTTGCGAACTCGTTGGAAGAAGTGGTTAGAGGTGTTTGTTTGGGTTTAAACTGTTAGTAGATAGAGGTATGGGAATTGATTTGGAGGAAGGAGGTAATAAAAGTATGTGTTTGTGGGAGAAAAGAATTGGCAAAATGATCAGGGAAAGAGAAGGGCCTCAAAATAACAATTCACTTAGGGTATATTACACTAACAGTAGAAGTCTAAGAAATAAAATTAACGAATTAAATGCTCTTGTCTGCACAGAAAAAATAGATATTATTGCACTTATCGAAACGTGGATGAATGTAGAAAATAGAGAACTATTAGCTGAATATCAAATAAATGGATTTAAACTATTTCACACAGATAGATATATTAGACGAGGAGGTGGAGTAGCCATATATGTTAAGGACAATTTGAAATGTAGTCTCAAAGAGGGAATCAAAACTGAGCCACACACAGAAACTATTTGGATAGAATTAAACGAAAAAGCTAATAATATTATAATAGGAGTTATATATAGGCCTCCAAATTTAGACAGAATGGAAGCAAAGCATCTATGGGATGAAATATCTAGAGCATCTAGATCTAACAGTATTTATGTCATGGGTGACTTTAATTTTAGTGGAATAAACTGGTTGAACAAAATAGGGAATAGTGAAGCAGAAGATTTTCTAGAATTAATTGACGATTGCTTTCTTACACAACACATTAAGGAACCAACACGGGAAAATAATATTTTAGATTTAGTGTTAACTAACAAGGAAACACAAATTAATGACATCGAAATAGGGAGTGAGCTAGGGAACAGTGATAAGAACATAAGAACATAAGAACAAAGGTAACTGCAGAAGGCCTATTGGCCCATACGAGGCAGCTCCAATTCTATAACCACCCAATCCCACTCATATACTTGTCCAACCCGTGCTTGAAACAATCGAGGGACCCCACCTCCACAATGTTACGCGGCAATTGGTTCCACAAATCAACAACCCTGTTACTGAACCAGTATTTATCCAAGTCTTTCCTAAATCTAAACTTATCCAATTTATATCCATTGTTTCGTGTTCTGTCCTGTGTTGATACTTTTAATACCCTATTAATATCCCCCCGGTTATGTCCATTCATCCACTTGTAAACCTCTATCATGTCACCCCTAACTCTTCGCCTTTCCAGTGAATGCAACTTAAGCTTTGTTAATCTTTCTTCATATGAAAGATTTCTAATTTGGGGAATTAACTTAGTCATCCTACGCTGGACACGTTCAAGTGAATTTATATCCATTCTATAATATGGCGACCAAAACTGAACTGCATAATCTAAATGGGGCCTAACTAGAGCAAGATATAGCTTGAGAACCACACCAGGTGTCTTGTTACTAACGCTGCGATTAATAAATCCAAGTGTCCGATTTGCCTTATTACGAACATTTATGCATTGATCCTTTTGTTTTAAATTCTTACTAATCATAACTCCCAGATCCCTTTCGCAATCCGACTTCGCAATCACAACACCATCTAGCTCGTATCTTGTAACTCTATCATCATTACCTAACCTCAGAACTTTACATTTATCAGCATTAAACTGCATCTGCCAATCCTTTGACCATTTCAAAACCCTATCTAGATCAACTTGAAGTGATAGTGAGTCCTCCTCCGAATTAATTTCCCTACCGATTTTCGTATCATCGGCAAATTTGCAAATGTTGCTACTCAAACCTGAATCTAAATCATTTATATATATTATAAACAACAGAGGTCCCAGGACAGAGCCTTGAGGCACTCCACTTACAACATTTTCCCACTCTGACTTGATTCCATTTATACTAACTCTCTGTTTCCTTTGGTATAGCCATGCCCTAATCCAGCTTAATATAGCACCCCCAATACCATGAGACTCTATTTTTTTAATCAGTCTTTCATGTGGCACTGTATCAAAAGCTTTGCTAAAGTCAAGGTATACAACATCGCAATCCTTACCACTATCAACTGCCTCAACAATGCTAGAATAAAAAGATAACAAATTTGTTAAACATGAACGGCCATTTATAAAACCATGTTGCGACTCAATTATTAATTTATGTTTTTCAAGATGAAGACGAATTTTATTTGCTATTATAGATTCGAGTAACTTTCCCACAATAGACGTTAGGCTAATTGGTCGATAGTTAGACGCAAGTGATCTATCTCCTTTCTTAAAAACTGGTATCACATTAGCAACTTTCCAATACTCTGGCACTCTGCCTGACTCTATTGATTTATTAAATATGGTTGACAGTGGGTCACAAAGCTCCTCTTTGCATTCTTTAAGCACCCTGGCAAACACTTCATCCGGCCCTGGGGATTTGTTTGGTTTGAGTTTTACTATTTGTTTAAGAACATCCTCCCTGGTAACTGCTAAACTCGTCAACCTGTCCTCGTCCCCACCCACATAGACTTGTTCGGCTGAAGGCATATTGTTAAGTTCCTCTTTAGTAAATACAGATACAAAATATTTATTAAAAATACTACTCATCTCTTCATCACTATCTGTTATTTGACCTGTCTCAGTTTTTAATGGACCTATCCTTTCCCTAGTCTTAGTACGATATAACTGAAAAAACCCTTTAGGATTTGTCTTTGCTTGCCCTGCTATGCGAACTTCATAGTTTCTTTTTGCTTTCCTTATCTCTTTTTTAACATTTCTAACCAGTTGTACGAATTCCTGTTCTAAAGTGACCTCCCCATTTTTAATCCTTTTGTACCAAGCTCTCTTTTTACCTATAAGGTTCTTCAAATTCTTTGTTATCCACTTTGGGTCATTAGTATACGATCTATTCAATTTGTATGGTATACTACGTTCCTGTGCTTTGTTTAGAATATTCTTAAATAAGTTATATATTGAATCCACATCGAAATCCCCATTTAAGTCACCTATCGCTGGGTTCATGTCTCGCTCCAAGACCGGCCCACACCCCATACCCAAGCCTTTCCAATCAATTTGACCCAAAAAATTTCTTAGGCTATTAAAATCAGCTTTTCGAAAATCTGGCACTTTAACAGAATTTTCTCCTACTGGTCTATTCCATTCTATGCTAAATCTGATTTCTTTGTGATCACTGCTCCCTAGCTCACTCCCTATTTCGATGTCATTAATTTGCGTTTCCCTGTTAGTTAACACTAAATCTAAAATATTATTTTCCCGTGTTGGTTCCTTAATGTGTTGCGTAAGAAAGCAATCGTCAATTAATTCTAGAAAATCTTCTGCTTCACTATTCCCTGTTTTGTTCAACCAGTTTATTCCGCTAAAATTAAAGTCACCCATGACATAAATACTGTTAGATCTAGATGCTCTAGATATTTCATCCCATAGATGCTTTGCTTCCATTCTGTCTAAATTTGGTGGCCTATATATTACTCCTATTATAATATTATTAGCTTTTTCGTTTAATTCAATCCAAATAGTTTCTGTGTGTGGCTCTGTTTTGATTCCCTCTTTGAGACTACATTTCAAATTGTCCCTAACATATATGGCTACTCCACCTCCTCGTCTAATATATCTATCTGTGTGAAATAGTTTAAATCCATATATTTGATATTCAGCTAATAGTTCTCTATTTTCTACATTCATCCACGTTTCGGTAAGTGCAATAATATCTATTTTTTCTGTGCAGACAAGAGCATTTAATTCGTTAATTTTATTTCTTAGACTTCTACTGTTAGTGTAATATACCCTAAGTGAATTGTTATTTTGCGGACCTTCTCTTTCCCTGATCGTTTTGCCAATTCCTTTCTCCCACAAACACATACTTTTATTACCTCCTTCCTCCAAATCAATTCCCATACCTCTATCTACTAACAGTTTAAACCCAAACAAACACCTCTAACCACTTCTTCTAGCGAGTTCGCAACAGCAACAGTATACGATCATCTTGGGATTGGGTGGTTGTAGAATGGGAGCTGCCTCGTGTGGGCCAACGGGCCTTCTGCAGTTGCCTTTGTTCTTAACAACCCCAGCTCTCGATAGATGCACCCCAT